AGATGAATTATTTAAAACCTAAAATCCTTTTAGAGGACTTTGGTTCCTCTAGTGAACAGGGTGGAATTAGTAAAGCATGTTTAAACACAGGCTCATCACTGCAGTTCCCCCGGGGGTGCAGCCCGCTCACGCCTCGCTTGTGAGCACAGAGACCACGAGCACAAGGGAACTGAGGAATCCCCCAAAAGCCATGCAGAGCAGTGGTCAGCAGCTGACACCTCTGAGCACCAGCTGCTTGAAGCTCAAGAGGAGGACCAGGACAGCCTGGACCTGTCACTGGGGGGACAAGCCCAGCCTGGCCACCTCCTCTCTCCTCCACCCGCATCCCCACGGGTTACTTACTTCCTCTCTCCTTTGTACCACTCAAAGACCGGGGCAGGAACTCCTGCACCTTCACACCGTATCAGGCCGTTCCCTCCAAGCATCACACCGCTGGATTTAAGTTCCTGAATTGTGGGGGCAACTGAAAAAAACAGAATTGTGAAAGGGACGTTGGCCTCTGGCTCAGTAGCCGGCTGCCGCTCCTCCCGGCACGCCCCACGCCGCTCAGCCGCCTGCCACGGCCCCTCCAGGCCTCCTGCCACCAGTGGAAGAGTTACCACACACAGCAGCTGGACACATACTCCGTGTATCTGGTGTGAAAAACACAACTGAGACACCAAGAGGCACCAATCCCATGTGAAAAAGCCGCTCTCCCAACTCGCTCGGCGTAAAGCGCGACTGCTCGGAGGTGCTGGTGCCACACGGGATGTGTGGAAGGGGAGGAGCAGAGTAAAACCCACCAAGCTCCAGCAGTGGTGCTGGCCAAGAAGCTTTGGGGTCCTGCTGGGCTCTGCAGGGGGATCCCAGAGCTGGGAGGGACCCGCAGTGCCCAGGGTCCAAAGCAAAGCTGGGACCAACACCACTTATCTTCTTCATCAGGTCCTCTGTGAGCGTCCTGGAAAACCCATGGGCTGAGATGGCCTCAGGATTTTGTTACAAGAGCAAACTTACCTCACAGCAGCTATGAGCCAAGTGTAACCCCATTTACCAGCATGCCCTCTGCAGCACTGCACTGGACAGAATGTGGTTTCAATGTATAGATTGTCTTTTTTAACTAGGAAATGTTCCAAATACCAATAAACATTTTCAGCTTAGAACTACAGGTACAAAGAGCAGATAAAAAGTGATAAAAAGTCAGTTTTTCAAGTTTCTGGCAAAAGACAAGTGCAAGCTGGAAGTAAAACACAAGAAATTCCTCAGGAAAGGGATTCTCAAAGGGAACCCTCAGCAGCCATTGCCTTCTCCCTGGAATTTTACATCTTCTGTTTCTGAACAATAATTTATGTGCACCATAAAAATGCTACAAAAACCAAACCACTGAACTTATAAAGGAAAATCTGTTTATTGTCTCCCCAGGGGTTTTCCAGATGTCACTGGGAGGTGTTTACATCCACGCAAAGCTCTGGCTGCCTCTTCACCACACACCCTCTGCCTTCAACATTCTCTTCCTAATGACAATATCAAACCAGTCCATAAATCCATTAACTTTCAACCACGTGACATGAAAGTTTTGAGTGGATAATAAGCACAGAACCAGTTTTCACCACTGCTCCATGATTTGCAAATACTTTTGTTACTCCATAAAAATAACAGGGACATATAAAGCTTCCTCCTGCCTGACAAATGGAGCAAAGTCTTTCAAAAATGAGTAGAGCTGACCACGTGAAGTGCTGTGGATGGGTCACATCTCATCTTCGCTCCTACAGCACCACGTGGCACCAGCACCTACTGAGAGCACCACAGAGCTCCCAGCTCAGCTTGTGCTTCTGGAGAGCAATACCAAAAAACGTCCAGGATGAACCACACAAAACCAGAACTTGTGTGAGATACACCACACAAAAGCACCACCTGAATGGCAGAAGAAGATGGAAGTCTACTGCACAGAAACACTATCAGGGGAGGCTGCCAAAAGCTAGACTAGGACTGGGAAGAGGTCCACCAGATTTCCACCCACCCGGGCACCAGGGACTACCTGCCAGCGTTTCCACCACCTCCCTCAAGCTGTGTGAAAGAGGTGAATGCTGCCACAGAACCCCTAGGACATCTCTCCACCATTAGTTCCCATGTGGCTGGTGCACTTGAGGCTGGTCCAGATGTGCTGCTGAGCTCCAGGGGAGCACCACCCTGGCCAGGCAGGTCCTGGGTCTCCTGGCTGCAGGGCATGGACCCCAGACCCCCAGCACTGAGCAAAACACCAGCTTGCTTCCCCCTCTGCCTGTGTCACTCTGACATGGAGGTTCTTGTTTGCTGGGGGACCTGGTCCACCTGCCCACCCAAAGCAGGGCCAGGCTAACCCAGGGTGGTCCTGATGGACACCTCCATCCTGGGGCTTCCAGACCCACAGCCTGCCTGGATGGCAACATCCCAGCACTGGCATGCCCCCCTCTCCCAGTTAAAGGCAGGCACCTTGCTGCAGTTCTAATCTATTAGTTATTTTGTCCCCAGTGACACAAAGATGAGGTTTGAACTTCTCTCTGGAGAAACCTTTTACCCATTGAAAGACTTGTGTGCTCATTCCTTCAAGCCCTTCTATATCTAAACCACCTCACCCCAAAAGATCCCCAGTTCATTCCCCCCTTTCTGACATCACACTTCCCACACACGTGGTTTTGGGGTGCCTGAACCCTCCAGTTCCCCCACGCTTTGCCCCAGTGAACGTCCCCAACACCAGCTGCAGCACCACCAGGGAGATGTTGCCAAGCAGAACAGGGAGTTGCTCCATGTGCTTTGTACATGATGCTTTCCCACACATGAAGACGTCCTTTCACTCCCAACTCCACGTGGTGTTTCCTCCCCCAACCTCAACCTCCCCTGGGGCAACTTGAGGCAGTTTCCTCTTGTCCTGTCCCTTGTCCCTTGGGAGCAGAGCCTGACCTCCCCCTGGCTCCAGGCTCCTGTCAGGAGAAAAATCCTGGGAGAGACACAGGAATAACACACTGGATCCATTCACTGGCCAAGCATTCATGAACTGTGAGTTGAGTTCAAGCTATTGACACCTCATGTATTCCCATCACCACTGGAAGACACTGGGAAGATTTTCAGTGACCACAGCTCTTGTCTTTCAGGTGGTGACAGACACTGGGAGGAGAGCCCATGACTGGAAGAAAAGTCACCTGCAAGAGAAGAGCTGTGAGCACCCCAGGGGTTCCACAGGCTCTGAAATAGCAGGAGATGGTATCTGAGCAGGTTCCTTCCCCACATCACCATGCAGCAGATACTTGGAAGGCTTCATCCTAAGAGGCAAATATTTTTCTGCATTATGCAAAGACATTAAAAATATATATATTTTTTTCTAATTCCAAGTGGGTAGGACTATTAGCAAAAACCCTGAGTCTGAAATTAATGCACAGCACCGTGCACACTACACAGACCAGATTTAATTCTGCTGAGCCAAGCAGAAAGAACAAACAAGAGACCAGCCAAGGCCTGAGACATGGAGAAAGGTTTCCTCTAAAAAACACCAGCTTCCTGCTCCTCAGCATGGTAATGTGGCCCACTCACCTTCTGCTGGGTGTGCTGTGGGTTTGGGGGATTTTTTTGGGAGGGGATAGGGTGGGGTTGTTTTTAGAATAGATGGAGGGCATCCCTGGTAATAAATTCTAAAAATCAATGGTCTGTAGGAGCACCCAGCTCGCTGATGCTCTCAGGCAGGAGGCCAGGCACCCTGCTCCCAGCTGAAGCCCAGCCACAAAGCACAGTTTTGTTTGGAAAAACCTCTGAAAAGGAAGTTTTCTTAGTGCTCCTCCCCTTCCAAAGGGTTTCAGCTGGTGTTTGTTAAGAATAAACCCCCAGCTCACCACTTGCTGCCCTGGGAAAGCCCCGGTGGATGCAGGTATGGAAACACAGACTGGGGGCAGCCTGGAGCCACCCTCCTCCTGGATCTCCCACTGCCAAGTGACAGTCTTGGTCTTGGCCTGAAGACAAACTCAGTGATGCAGGAGCATCCCTGGTGCCCTGGTGGGTGACGTGCCAAGCCAGAACTCCAGCAGAGCCCCAGAGAGGAAGGCTGAGGAGCTCCAGATGAGCTGCAGGCCCAAGTCCCTGCTGCTGGTGGAGCTGAAACTGGCTCCAGGAAGGGATGGGAGAAGCCTGGCCACCCCCCTGCCTCGGGAGGGGTTAATATTAATGAGCAAAAGCTCACTCTGGAGAAGACACATGATTTCATCTCACTGCTGTCAGCCCAGCTGCACTTGGCTGCATCTCGCCCTGCTGGGGCTGCTCAGGGTTTCTCTGATGGCAAAGATTCTGAGCTCAAAACAATCACTATATTGATCTAAACCCACACCACTTAGCAAGAGGAAAGCTCATCTATTATGTTAACACAGGCTCACAAGGTTCGACTCAATTCTGCCTTCACTGTTACCCAAAAAACCTTTATTTTAACCATCTCCCCCCAGCAGAGCTGCCTAGTGCAGCAGGGATGGGCAAGATCATAGAATCACTGAATGTCTGGGCTGGAGGGGACCTCCAAAGGTCATCTGGTCCAACCCCCCCACCATGAGCAGGGACATCAACTACATCAAGCTGCTCAGAGCCTCATCTAGAGGCCATAAGCACACAGGAGAAGCAAGGGATGGAGGACAACAACCACCCCCTGACTCCAGCCAGGGCTGGCCAGCAGGTTTTTGGGAGAGGTTATAACAAACCTACAGAAAATAAGATTTCTCCTACCAGATATTCCTCCCAAGAATTTAGAAAATCCATGGAATGAATGCAGTGATGGGTCCCCCAGCTGGTTCCTCCTCTGTGACAGGTCCCCACAGCACTGACCATCCCCCTATCTCATTAGATCCTCTGGGAGCTCTTTATGACTCACTTTGCTCTCTTAAATGACAGAGGAGGACAATTTAAACCCTGTTCAACCCCCCTGCCAAGGAGATGTCTCTGGCAGCTCTTAGCAGGCTCCCTGCCAGGCCCTTTGGAGCTCTCCCAGCACTCCCAGTGCCACCAGCATCGCTGCCCCACTGCAGCAGGTAAATCCCCCATCACTCCAGCAGCTGCTGCCACATTTCAATGGCTGCCCAGGAATCAATGGCAAGGACAAATATTGGCCATCTAGGGAAATGTTTGAATTCAGGAGTTTAATAACAATGGCTTAAGCTATCACAGAAAATCATTTAGCTTGGCTAATGATGTGGTCCTGCTCCCTCCAGCTGTCTGACAGGGGCACCAGTGGAAGTCCTGAGTGGGCAATGCAAGGCAGGGGAGAAACACAGATGGACGTGAGCTTAGAGACCTGAAGAAAGTTGGAAAATGTAAGAAAGAGCAGCTTTAATGAGTTTTAAATCAAGTGATTACCATAGAATCCTAGAACGTCTGGGCTGGAAGGGACCTCCAAAGGTCTAGTCCAACCCCCCCCAGCATAAGCAGGGACACCTCCAAAAACGGCATTCCAAAAAAATCCCCAAATTACGAATTCCA